ATGAACAGTTATACTCATTTCGTCTTGAATAAGCATTAAAGTTGAGGTTGTGTATAGTTGAAAGGAACGCACTAGTAGTGTGTGTGCGGTATGATGAGAAAGCTTGAACGTTCTGGGAATCGTTATGATATGAAACGCAATAATGGTGTTTTGGTAATTCAATTGAGATTGACGATTGATTGCGTTCATAGCGAGAACGAGCCACCATTTAAGAGTTGCAGCCTCATTCGTCACTTCAGCAATTGTTTTATTTGGTAATTGTGTACACAACGAGTTGAGTCTTAAATCCTGCTGTTGCTCTTCAGTTGATCGATGCTAGTAAACGTTGTCGTTTGAATGCGAGTTGTGAGCAGTTAGCTGACTCTTGCTTATTCGTTCTATAAATCAGCAATCTTCTATTTCATTCAATGCCACTCAATTGCTTGCATTCATGTGTGCGTCTGTAATTTATTCTATATATTCACTCATCTATCTTACACAACAATCGCTATCTTTCGATCTTGTTCAACTCAATCATATTTTATTTAATTCATTCGTTACGCATTTCCATTTCATTAAACTTTCATCGAATAATATTAATATCTCGCAAAGAAACTCTTTTAATAATCTTTCGAATTCAGCCAAACGGAATTGTTTTATTCGATCTGCGTTTAATTCTCATTATAATATTCAGAAGTTTGATTGTTAAACGATTAAATTTTGGCAGTCAGTTAGTGACGAAATATATAAATATAGATTTATAACCGACTATCATTCAAAAATCGAATACAATTTGTTCATCCGAGATTCTTCGAGAAAGAGAGAATTAATTCATCAAAGAATTGCCAGCCCATCTCGACGCGTTATATCGGATTTGATGTATGCTGCTCAAGAGAGAGACAACGAAGTAGCGACTTTCCCTCGAGACGTGAGTGAGTAACTGGGTTGGCTGTTGGTGTGTGTTGCACACAAACTTGATAAGCCGCGTTTTGGATGGTACGGAACCAAACCGACAAATAGCTGACGTTTGTCGAGAACGTCTGGAATCAGTATTCGATTCTGATTGCAGTAAATAAATACAAGTGATTCGCTGTTTATCTCATACTGTACTTTTGTGTAACGATAACAACAACAAATCATGAATTATCAACTTGTTCTTGTTGTTGTTACTATTCTGATATATTAATTCTAGCCATTATTCATATCATTCGCTTCTCGATTCTATTACAGTTGCATTCATTCATCACTGCTATTCAATACTCTCCATTGGGAACTGATGATTCGCGCCGATGTGGCCATGTAGGGCTTTTTTTTGCTTGTTTGTTGTGTACATAAATTTGTTTTTATACCATCATTCATAAGTGTTTTGCCAAACTTTCATCGAGAATATAGAAGACGAAATATCAAAACAGTCACTCTCCATTCGCTGAATTTGGCTCCTTCGAGTGGTTAGGTATTCATATAGCATCAGATTTATTTCATTTTTCGCTTCGTAATTTATGAAATTTTTTTCTTTAAATTTTTGTAGTTAGTTTCTAAATCTTACTTCAGTCGACCATTCTTCTTCAACGATTTTGTGTTGTACGTCAATTTTTGGTGATGCTTCTTTCATTATTTCCTTCCTGTATCTTACTTCATTGGACATCGATCGCACGCATTCTGTCGTTGATTTTTTCATCTCTGCGAATTTTCTTTGTTGTTTTTCCTCACTACAAAGCGAAACTTCACTCACTCATTTCGCGAACAGTCTTAAGCAAAAATACGCATGAATCGCATCCGTCGCCGTGGTCAGTCTCGTATGCGCCTTTCAGATTTTATCTGGGAGCAGACGAAATTTGAAGCGCAGATACGAGATTGACCACTGCGACGGAGATGGTTCATGCGCACCTTTACATTAGCCTGCCAGGCTGGAAAATCCTGAGTAACCTACCACCATCTCAACAAATCGAACTGGTTC